AATAATATAAAAATTCATTGTCATATCTGGGAATTTCTCAAACTGTCTTTATAATTGCTTCACTTTAAATCTGTATACCATGAGACTGTACTTTAGGTGATAAAGTTTGGTGGATTTCATACACGTTGATGAATTTGTGAATTATTAAGTAAATATGGTTAATAGAGTTATCCTGGCTTTTCTCTCAATTTCTATTTTCTCAGTTGCTTTCAGTCTACTTCCTCAGGCACTGTCTTGAGACAACATTTTTCTTTTGCATGCTATTTATTTTATGTATCATATTTTCCTAGCAATTTTAAACTTTTGTGTTCATTTTGTAGTGATTTTCTTTGAAAAAATACCTTCTGTACACTTTGTCTACTCTTACTGCTTCTGTTTTCAAGTAAATTATTTTCATCATTTGCAATTTTTACAATTAAGACTTATTTCTGTACATGTTGGGTTTTGTATTTGTTATTTTTTTGGTTGTCATAAAATTCTTTTTTTCAATTAACTCTATTGGTACATTTTAGGTATATAATACAATGACATTCATCATTGGGAATTTGAACCTTTACATCATCTATCTTGGTTCTTATTTTTTTTCTTATTTCTCCCCATTCCCCTGGCCTCCCTTCAACCCCTCCACCACTCCCTTTTTACAAAGACTTTGTTTCCAGTTTTTTCTTTTCTCCTATTAATTCCATTCCCTTCTTTTTTAAAATAAACTTTACCTCATGTCATGCTTCCTATCAGAATAACAAGTTTCTTTTATTTTGCTTTTAAAAATTCTAGTGGGCTTGTGAATAGACCTTCTGTTTTTATTAAGCAGGTGATCTCACTACTTTTGACATATATTACTCATTTAACTTAACACAGCCTGAAGTTAATCGATAGCTCTATTTTCTCCAAACAAAGTGAGCCTCTTTGTAAATTTTAATGGCGCTCACTCCTATCATCTCTTGTGCAGCTTTTGCTTCGGCGTGTCTGGTAAGCTTGTAACTTGTAACATCATTTATAACTCTTATTTCAGTAACAACTTATTTATTGACTGTTAATTTCTCTCTTTACTTACCTTCTTAACTTCCAGTGTTTTTACAGGATTACAAAATTTCTTATTATTTCTATACTCATTTAAAATAGCACTTCGGGTAATGCTTTAGCGACATCTGGAATTCTAGGTTGAGAAGTTGGGTTTTTTTTTATTGTTTTACTGGAAATGTTTTGCTTTTCCTTTCCGTTGACATGAGCATCTTGGTAGTGGACAAGTTTGTAATGTCTCTTGGTTGTCATTCATGTGTAGCACACTGAGCCAGTTTCTGGTAGCGTTTTTTATTTGGGCACTGGAAACTGAACCTGGGACCATTTCACTAAGCTATATCCCTCCCCCTCCCCCACTTTTGTTAAAATTTTGAGACAGAAGTTTGCTATGTTACTAAGTTGCCCAGGATGAACTTGAGCTTGGTATTTTCCCTGGCTCAGCCAATCTGCTGGTAGACTTTTTAAAAAAGAATCATTTAATCAAAATTCAAAACACAAGCATATAACCCAATGATTTTCACATAATGTGCATTTTAATCTTCAGCATCTGGATGAAGAAGCCAAAGACCTGCTCACAGCATCCCCCTCCTTCAGCTTTCCCTCATTTCCTGTGGGCTGCCACGCTCCTGTTGCCTACAGGCAGAGATTTATTATGCTCTGTGCTGGTGCAGCATGAAGTGAAGCACACGGGATGCACTTACGCGTTGCTGTTTTTTGTCTGGCTTCTTCCACTTGTGACCGTGTTCGTGAGCACCTACAGTGTGCAATGACCAGGCTCCTACCATATTTCATTGTACACTATTCAGTTTCTGCTTTCATGGAGAGTATAAGTGGATTGACTATGATTCCAAAATAATACTGCTCCAAGTTAGACAAAAGGTAAATACTGTACAAGACGGGCATTTTTTTATCAGAGAAAGAGTGGAGATGCGTTGATGTCAACCTATGATATCCTGTGCAATTTGCCTGTTGTAAGGCAGAGTGAAGTTGAATTGGTTAATCCTGTAGGTTACTTCCTGAAGAAGGCTCTGTACATGGATGGGACTGGAGATGTCGGAAGGGCATTGTAAATACGATACCCATGTCTCTTCTCTCTGCAACACACACCACTATAAAGTCCTCCTGAGAAATTGTAAAAGGACTGAGTTATTATATTTTGACATTGTCATACTTTCATATTATTTTGTCGTTACTGTGTGGATGACAGGGCACAGTTAAATACTTGGAGGTGAGTATTGTTATCATCCTTGTACTGATGGGCTTGACTTAAAAGATCCTGGTAGCTCCTTATGTTTGGACTTTACTGAAAAGATACATGGAATTCAGACTAAGTAGAGCAAGTAGGGACCAAAATTTCATAGGTTCCCAATTTAAATGTGATCATCTTTGTCTTCAGCTGCCAGGTGGATGTGCAGGAAAGAACCCACTGGAGCAGCCGAAGCTTGTTCCCTGAGATCCCTGGTGGCTACTCCCTGATCATACATGGAAATGCACTGCTTTGTGATGGCTGTGTTTGCAGACCTCAGACTCCATGGGAGAGAAGTGGTGATTCATCAGTTAACATGGAAAGTACCGCGAACTCCAAACTTAACTTACGAAAGATTACTGCTATCACCTGGGGTTTGGACACTTTATGAACTGTCCACATCGTAAGTCTTGCAACTGAGATGCTGTTTACTCTCATCGGCTATCCTGTAAGCAAGCAGGAGACAGTCGCTTCATAGCCCCACTGACATTTATCAAATGCATTTAATTACATGCCCATTGTCCACTCTAGCCATCAGAAATTCCAGGCTTATTCAACATTTCTTTTAGTCTCCAGAGCCCAAAGTAGCAAGCACCACAATCTTTGTAAGACTTGATTGCTTCCTGCCTCAGGAACGGAATGGGCAGGTTAATGAAGAGGCGGCTGACATGGTACCAGGTGATTTGTGAGTGTGCGGACCCTTCCCCTCCTCTGTCTCTGAAACCTGGCTTCTTTGGGAAGAGCTTCTCTTCCATAAAGTGATCATCTCTTGTTTTCATATTTTCTGAGGAAAGAAAAACATATGGGCCTAGGAGAGCCTATCGGTCAAATGAATTGATGTGTGGAATGAATCTGCAGGGGCATCTTCCTTCAACTAAGCGCAGCCTGATGGCCAAACATAATCGCCTCAGAAGTGATGCATGATTTTCTAGCAGGTCCTTGCTTTCTAACAACATGTTGGAAAACACTCAAGACCTGAGTTCAAGTATTCAGAGTGAACATACCTTTGGAGTGGAGAAAGACCTCTCCCAAGTTTCTTCCATTTTTCTTTGCCAAGTCCTCGAATACCATTATTTCAAAATAATCCTTTATCATTTCATCATGTAAAATTGGTAAAAAGGCAGGGAGCATCACACTTATCCTGCTCCATGGAATGATTTTCAATGGTGTTGATACTTGAGCTCATTTCTAAAGATACTCATGTTATTCCTAAATTACATATATCTGTATTTGCAGAGAGAAACATATTCATGTACATATATATGTGTGTGTGTATAGATATGCATAAAGATATCTATAGATAGATTGATCAGACAGCAGGAAGAATGCATTTCTTCCTTAAATTATATTGTGATTCTTTTCAAATTTTACATTTTAATTTTTCTGAATCAGTAACAAGCTCCAATGGAGCTGAATGCTACTCATGTACTTTGGAAGTTGTGTGGTATTTTCTTTTTTCTTTTTTTTTTTTTTGGTACCGGGGATCAAACTTGGGTCTTTGCACTTGTGCAGCAGGTGGCTGAACCACTGAGCAAAATCCCTGGCCCAGTTGTGTGGTATTTCAAAAATGTCGTAAAGAAGAAAGTACAGGGCATTAGACCTAAGGAGAAAAGAGCAACAATAAAACATGTACAGACTAAGTAAAACTTTTTAAGAAATGCAAAAATAAAACTTGCAAAGATGAGAGGGAGGTCAAGGATTTGCAAACTCAGAGTTAAGAGGTACCGAAGAGAGCTTTGAGACTCTTTTAGGGGAATAAATCCATTTACGGGACAGAGAATCATGGGTTATTCACACACTGCTGAGTGGCTTTGTTCTTTTTTTTTGATTTTGGTAAAATAATTCTTTTCTTTATATTAGAGGTAAAGTACAAGCTACACAAAAAAGCTTAAATAGAGAAATATATGCCAAATACTAATAAGAGGAATAAATATATCTTAATTAATGCAGAGAAAACACAACTTATAATTTAAAGAAAAAAGAAACATAATTTACATTTACAAAACTTTTGGTTCTTGAAGCTTACAATATAGTCAATATCTTTAATACTTTTTAGGTTAGTTTTTCAAATCACACAGAGAAAAAACTAGAAAAATTTGGCAAACTGATAAGCTATCCATGAGGAATTGCTTTAATATCTCTTCAACATAGGTAAGAATGAGTTAGAGATTTCTGGTAGGAGAGATGAAGATTTTACAATTGTTAATGCACATTGTGATTCGACATGATTCATATTTGGGGGTTGGAAGCAGAGTCCTTGCACAGAGCTACCTCCCCAGAGATTTTTCCTTTAATTGTATTATTTTGAGACAGGATCTTGTTAAGTTGCTGAGTTGAGCAGCCACTTCGGATTTCATTGCTTTTGTTTTTAATACTTACAAAAGTGCATATCAAGTTTTAAAGTAAATAATAGACAAATTAAAATTTGAGATTGTGAAGTTTGGCACAAAAAGAAAATAAAGCTGAAGTCATTTATTAAAAAACGTAGAAATGAGACGATATCAACAACCTTAGAGGCCATTTTCACAATTGCAATGAAATGTGCACCGGTTTGAGAACTTTGTGTATTGCTACAAAATTTCCCAAATTGGGTAAATTATAAAGGACGTAAATTACCGCCTTTCCCTCCCGGGCCCTGGGAAATCCAAGGTCACCGGGCACACCTGCGAGGGCTCCTCCTCCACACACAGCCTGCCAGTCTGCACACACTCCTCAGAGGCATGAACTTGTGAAAAAAACACAGCCCGCATTAAACCAAACCCTGGAAACGAAAGCTGAATCGCCTTGTATTTCTAAACCTCTGGCAGACAGACACACCCAGCAGCGCAGCTCTGCTCAGCTCTGCGCGCTGTGCAAGTCCTCAGAAAGGCGGCGGCCTACCCGGAACCCCTGCCTGTCCTGTCTCCCCACTCTGTCCCGCGATGTCTCCCTGCTCAGCTCCTCAGGAAACAAAGTGGCTGCCGGCCATGGCGGGGCGTGTGGGAGTCTGCAGAGCTCCGGCGCTGAGATTTAAGAAACGCCACAGGCCTCTGTTTTTCCAAAATGAAGCCGAGTGTGGCCGTAGGTGAGAAGCCTAACCCTCCTCCTCTGCCTGTGGGTGCTGCCTGTGGGTGCCCACGGGGTCCTCTCCGACCGAGACTTCCGCAGAAGCGAGGCTGTCCACAGATGCACCTCAGGGCCCTTTCCGGGCCTTCAGCGGCCCTGCCAATTCCAGCTTTGTCTCCCTGGGGAAAGGAGGCGGTGGTGGAGGCGAGGGCCTCTTGTTTTCCCTTAGGGGTGGGGGTTGTGTTGGGGAGACCTGGGGTGGCAATATAACCCTTAGCCCCAGGCAGCTGCCCGGCTGTGCCCCATCTGAGGGCCTGGGGTGGCAGGGCCTCCTGGCTGGGGTCTCCTCAGTCAAGAGTGCCATCCCCAGGGCTTCCCTCTCTGCCCTGCCTTTCCTGCCTCTGTCTCTCAGGTTAGTGCCTTCGGGCCACGCTCTCCTCAGATGCAAGGAGCCCCCCAGTCCTCAGACTCAGGAAGAGGGCGTCCTTCCAGAATGCACTAGCTCATTTCTGTCCTCACGAAGGAGAATAATGTACTTTTTTCCAAAAGAAGAAAAGCTATCTGTTTTGATTAGTCATACTTGCCACATTAAACTTTCAATAGCTCCTCTTAAAAGACATTCTCCAAAGGGAAAGTGAGAATCTTGAGAGTTAGAAGAGAAATATTCCCAAATGTGTTATTTTTCTTTGCCTGGTTGAAATAGCTGATGAATGGTTATTTTTAAAAAGCAACTGGTGCAAATATACACCATGAATTTCATGGAAGTCTAGAGTTGATACATTCAATAGAAATAGCAAGGGTATAATGTGTTGAATAATGCAATACCCTTGAATTACTTTCATTTTCTGAATGATACATCCCATTTAATTAAGTCTGATTTTGAATTTTGTGGACTTCAAATGAGTTTTCAAAAATATCTTACTGCTTTACTGGTCCTTATTTGCAGTGCTATATTTTGTATCCTTTGTTCTTAAAGAATATATCAAATTTATTACCAAAAGCATGTGAAGAAAGGAAGAAACCTTTTTTCACTAAATCACTGTTAGTAGAGATCATTTTTAAAGCTAATGAATGCAGTGTTTTCCAAATAATGCTTATAGAAACAGCAAAGGAAAGAACAGTAAATATACTTCCAAGTGTAGGCATTGTTGAATGTAAATGCCATTCACTAGATAATCATAAAGATACCAGCTCTATATGTTTTTACACCAACAAGAATGATTCAGGGACTTGTCCCATGGGATGGATTGTAATTGCAAGAAAAGCCAGACAGATACTAGTAGGTTGTGTTGTTGAGAATGATATGTTTTCCAAAACGCTTGCAGTTAAAACAAAGAGTAGATTATACAGAGAGTCATTGCATGACCTTAAAATCTCACAGCTTCTTCTGGAATCACTTCTGATAGACCATGATGAAATCACTGCTCACCAAGACAGCATCCTCTGTTGAAACTTGGGGCTATGGTCATTAACAATGTTAATGAAAACACTGGCAGAAATTTGGGTCATCCTCTTAGTGGGATAATTCAAGTTGAATGATGCATCACAAGGTTGATTAATTATGGTGGGACTTAAAACATATATAACTTTCAAAGCACTACTTAATATTGCCTCTAAATTTAAGTGTTTGAAATACAAAAATGTTTCATTTTATAAAGGACTTCATGAGCATAGCACAATGCAATTTGGTATTGTAGCCCAAAGACCAGAGACCAAAGAGCAAAGAACGGTCTTTCCCTGTTGTTTACTAGGGTAATAGACTTGACTTGACCTGGATATTAATGAGATCCCCATCTATTTAGTAATGGATGCACCACACCCAGTGTTACTGTAACAGGGCAGCACTTTATAGACATACCTTACTAAGTGCTGTGAACAATGTCACATTATATATTATGGAGAAAAAAGGCAAGTTGAGGGAGAGTCAAGATTTAGCCTCAAATCATCCAGTCTTAGAAGGGTAACACGTCATTTCTCAGGTCTTACGTGAGCCTCATTCATCATGGGTAAAATTAAAATGAAAGTACTTTTATTAAAACATTAGCACCTTTATTAATAAGCATCTTTATTGAAATTTGCAACAAGAATAAATGAGATCACCTATAGAGTGGTAACTTAGGATGTATGTATCATGATACAAATTCTAACTTTTACTTTTTTTTTCTTTGTTTTTGGTATCCTGGATTGAACTTGGGTCCTTGCGCTTGCGGGACAGGTGGTGGAACCACTGAGCTAAATCCCCGGCCTAACTTTTACTTTTATACACTTTATATTCTAACTTTTAAAACATAATGTTCAAAATTAAGGCTGAAAACAATAAAGATTAATTACTTTGTTAATGGAACAATTTATTGCAAAGGGCCCCAGTACAATAAACCATGCTGATATTTGGACTCAACTATAATGGGATTTTTCACATCTGCTCTCTTCGGTTGCTTCTCAACCGAAGCAGATATTCAGTATGTAAACAACATGGAGCCAGCAAGAATTTAGAAATAAGCTTGATCTTTAAAATATAAAAGACAAAATGTGAGCTATATGTATTAAAGCAGAAAGGCATTCATAATTAACTTGAAGGGGCTGACTAGCTCTCAGCTCAGTGACATGGGAATGAAATCAACAGACTGCATGAATAGATATGGAAAGAAACACATTCTTTAGAAGGGACTTGGCCAACCCTGAAGGCACAGCGATGGGAGAGTCACAGGGGCTAGGTAGTCTAGAGACTCATGCTCTGCCCTACACAATGCAGTGTTGGGTGGTAGATGTCAAACCTAGGGCTGCAATCAGTCTGATGCACAGTGCCCCCATATGAGGGGTGGAATCAGATGTCAAAAGCCAAGTGGCGATGAACACCCAGGACCCTGGAGGCTGATGCTGTGAGTGGTACCCAGAGCACATCCCCACCAGCTGCCAGGCCCTCCTCAGACACTGCACACATCTGTTCTTCAATTGCAAAAGGAGATTGCAGTAGTGCCCGCATGAAGCTGTTTTTAGTATTCAAGGAAAGGACTTATTTAAGGTTTTCTTAACTCCACAGCAGACAGAAAATGAGTTCACAGTACAGGTGGTGTTCTCTCTCTCTCTGTCTCTCTCTATCTCTCTCTCTCATGTATCGAGCAACTTTTCAAAGTGTAACTAGCGTTCTTGTGTGGATCTGCCTTTAGAAAGACAATGTGATGACAAATGGATATTTATATTCTTTAATGAAAATTAGCAAACTGCAAGAAAATACAAATATTTTGATTTAACAAATCTGGTTAAAGTTACTTATTGTAGTAGTCACTTTCTTGTGGCTGGGACAAAATACCCAACCACAATTTAGAGAAGAGGTTTGTTTTGCCTTACAGTTTCAATGTATTCAGTCCATGGGCAGCTGGGTCCAGGGTAGAAATAGGGTTACAGAAAGGCCTGGGAGAAGAAAGCTATTAAATGCATAAATAAATACATGGCAGCTAGGAAGAAGAGGGAAGGGAGGACCTGGAGACAAGAATACTCTCCAGGTCACACCCCTGGTGACCTGCCCACTTTGAGCAGGTCCCTCCTCCACATGCGACTCTTGGATAACACTGTGGCTCTAAACCACAGCAATTATGGTGAAGTATTTAACCCGAGCACATAGATAGCTGCCTTGCAAATGCTGTCAATGATGCTTCATCTCAGTGTGTAGGAGACAATGAATGTATGTGCACATAAAACTAAAGTGTTCCATGAATGTCTTATTGAATAGATGGCTCTGATAGCTATAGTTATAAGTACAACAAAATGAGCGTGTACAACAGACCCCCAACTGCTACCTGGATTGTTTTCCTGATTCTGTGTAGGAATTGCCTTGCATGCAATGCTCCATGCAGAACTGTCTCTCTGTAGCCGACTTATCTGGGTCAGCAGCACACAAGTGAGATCATTCTGTGCATCCCTACGGCCCCCAGCAGCTCATACAATTCCTGTTCATACCAGGCTGTCCCCTTCCGAGTGCAAATAATCCTCACAAAGGCAGTGCATTGTTGGAGAATCGAGAGGCTGTCCCTATTTTGCAATCCAGAAAGAACTGCTCTCTAATGGCCTTCTAAAGTATGAGCCAGAGGGCTCTGACCACCCCCATTCTTGACATAGGTAACAAGATTAATACTACAGTTTAGGACTGGGGAGCTGTAGAAGAAATGATCATCTATTTTACACAGCTGAAACACCTTTATTTTTCTAGGAAATTTCTCCACATGGCACCAGTTCTGGAATGTGTTTGAAAGAAAAGGGAGTTTCGTGATTCCATTGTGATTCCAAAGAGCATTTTCATCTTCACTTGGCCACCATATTGGGAAATAGACCACTCATCAACTATATTTAAACATTTCTGGGTTCATTTATTCATTTGTAAAATGAGAGATTAAAAGATAAAAATTAAATTCCTTTTTATTAAAGAATCCAAGTGTTCTCTGACTGACCACGGAGAGGTGAAGATTTCTGCACACACCAACAGCACTGCCAGGCCTGTGGTTTCAGGCCCAGAAGGGTTCCCTCCGGCTGTGAACATTTTCCCTCCTCTGTGGCTCACTGAGGCGCAATGATTACAACTCGCAGGAGTTCAGACTTTTTACCTCATTCTATGAGTCACGGCAAGATAAACCTGTATCATGCAACAGTGGTCCATAAATAAGAGATATTGTTTAGCACAAATGTTCCAATTAGAGCTTAACTTTCCATTCTCTTATGCTATAACTTGAGTCCTAGTAGCTTGGGACATTTTCCTTGGGTAAGGTATTGTATTAAACCTTTTCTTAAAAGCAATCTCTTAGATCTAATGATAAATTTTTACTTTCTGAGGAGAATTGAATTAATTAATTAATATCAATGCTGAAGATTATTTGAAGAAAACAAGTGAATAGTTATGCAAGCTAATTTTGGCCTCAATATTACTTTTTTCTGAATACTGAACTTTTCTCAAAGTAACTGTTGGTGATTGGTTAATGGAATTGAAATGCAAGAGAAATAGTTTGCAATGGTTTAATATTCTAAAACTGAATTATCTTTTACTTGATAGGACTAGGATTTAAATTAAGGGGAAATTTTGTTCTCTCTTAGGAAGCTAATTTAAAGATCATGAGAAAAGTGGAAATAAAATAAATTAAGATGTGTTATGTACCTGTCTGTGTAAACTCCCCAAGATTAATGTAATCATTATGTATGGGAAAAAAGGACTAATAAGTATTTTACAAATTAAGAACAAAAAGCAAAAGAAAAAACAAAACAAAATAATAATCTTTTAAAATAAATAAACAGAAAAATATAGATATGTATATTCACATAACTGTACACATATATATCTAGATATATATTTATATATCTAAATACACATTTTATACACATATTTATACAGTATATTAGCAGAAAAATTCTTTATGAATTAGTATTTTTTCCACTGGTTTATTTAATTTCATCCAGTGACTATATCATAATTTTCATATTCAATCTATAATGGATGGATGTTTAGTTGGTTTGCAGTTTGGTGATACCTTTTTGATATCCTACTAAAACTCCCAGTTTCTCTAATTTTTGAAAGTACTTTTAATGCTTCCTTTTGGAGCTTGGGAGCTTGGAATCCGCAATTTATGTCAATTATTTTTCATGCATAAAGATGAGATTATAGCTGTTCTTCTTCTCTATGGATAGTAAATTCACCTAGAACCATTTATGAAAATACTTTCATTAAACTACCATGAAGTCTTTCTCTTAATCTAAGAAATCAAATATTTGTGAATTTATTTCTGTATCCATTTTATTCTATTCCTTTCATTCATCTTTCACTTTGTCTACTTTTTGCACCAATATCAAAGTACTTTGGTTTATTAAACCAACTAATTAAACTTAGGTATAATAAGTGTTGAGAAGTGGGGTTTCTGTATAGGCTTTTTACTTCCTCTATATTCCATTTCATACTGTAGGTCATTTGCATTTTCATATCTGATAAAAAGTTCATCAATTTACATACTCACTTGGATTGATTAGAAACTGCATTGGATCAATAGATCCATTTAAGGAGATGTTGCAATTCAATGCTGTTTTAATTTCATGAGTGTAAGTACCATTCCTTTATCCATTTTGGTCTTTAATTTTTCCAAGTGCTGTTTTGCAGTGTTAAGTGGAGGGGTTGTGAAAATTGTAAATTAGATTTATTCGTAAGTAGTTGCATTTTTTATGCTATTATACATATTGTTTTTAAGGATGCCATTTTACAGTTGTTTCCTGTTAACATAAATAAACTTTGTTTTTGTAAATTGACTCTTTTCCTAGTACACTTGTAAAATTACTCAGTATGTTTAAAAGTTTTACATTTGCATATTATTTTTGGTTTTCCAAACAGACAATAGTCTTATCTGTGAAAATATCTACCTTATTTTCCATTTCTTTCCTCTGTGTTTGTAACGGTGAGAATAATTTTTTCATTACTGATCCAACTTCTTTAAACTCTTTTTATTGATTACAAGTCAATGAGAAAATTAAGATTTTCAAGGAATTTGTCCATTTTGTCTAAATTTAAAATAAAGTTATTCATAATGTCATCTTCATCTTTTAACCACGTTTAATATTTGTAATGACTAAAAATCTTTTCTGATACTGATTACTAGTATTTTCTGTCTCATTACCTTCGGTATTACTGGAATTGGCTGAAGTTGACTTGTCTTAAAGAACCAAAGTAATTTATTGTTAGATTATTTTCCATTACATATCTTTTTCTTATTTCTTCCATTTTACTTGTTCTTTTTACATGTTTCTATGATCTTGGAGCTTCATTTGTTTTTCTTTTATTAGCTTTTAATATTTAATCTAAATTATTGATTTTTTAGGGCTTTTTCTGTTCTACTACTAACCCTTAAATAATATTCCTCCTGCAAAACATGACTGTAAGCAGATCTCAGAAATTTTAACTTTCCATTTTCATCTCTATTCAGCTAAACTACAACCTGTCATTGTGACACCCTGATTGGTTCAAGGGTTTTCGAGGGGCTTGTGGTTTATATTCCATACAGTGAGAAAATTTGGTTTCTCTTTGACATTGATCTCTATGTTAATTCCATAAAATCAAAAATATATGCTGTATGATTTTAATGCTTTTAGTGTAGCTGAGGTTTGCTTTCCTTCCCAGAATGTGATATATTTTCTCAAATTTTGCCAGCACACTAGAAAAAGAATATGTATTCTGCTTCTTTGTACCTATGATTCTCTAGTTAGGTAGAAAGTCAAGCTGCTGACACCTCTGTGACTGTTGGAATCCTGGTACCTTAACAATGTTTCTCTTTTTATCGTCAGTTACTATTATAGCAAAGGTTTCTATTTCTCCTTTAATTATATAACCTTTTCTTCTGTGTTTTTAGTTGTAGCATTAGGTGCATCCACGTTTAAAATAATCATATTATTCTATTGTTAAATTGATAATTTATTCATAATGAAATGTCCCACTTCATCATTAGTGATGAGTGCCTTAAAATATTCTTTTGTTTGATGTGTCCATGGTATATTTTCCTCTTTTTATTTTCAGCAGATCTAGTTAGTGTGGATTTTTGTGTAATAGAAAATTGTTGTTTTTTAAAATCCAATTTTACAACCATTGTCTTAAATTAGTCTTAATTTTCTGTATATTTAATGCAATTATAGTGTATATATCTATCATTTTCTTTTTATCTCATACTGTAACAATGTAACAATCTTAATATACCAAGGTATTTTCTACATTTTCAAATTAT